CATACTTGCCATTTTTGAAATAAATAATATTATCCCTATGAAGGTCACAATGGCGTGTGCGTGCTTGTATATAGCCCATGTGTATTTTCTGACAGTATTTATTGCAGTTGTCACCACTTTAGATGTTAGATGTTGCTTCTTGTTCTGACTTAAATACGATCGTTTATGCACGTCTTGTTATTCCCTACTGCAATACCGTTGGATACATAAGTCATACGTATATACGTGCACCATTGCGACTACGGTGTGTACTTGCTCACATTCGACAGGTCTTCATCAAACCGACTAGTGATTGGGAAGTATGATATAGAGCCCTGCCCTCCATTCACCTACCAGATTATCTCTTAAGGGTTGCATTGTGTATAGGCTAGCGATGTGTGTACACATGGGGCCATGAAGGATAGTAATCTCTTCGTTGAAGTTTAGATAGTATGATTTTTTTTGTATGACGTGAGCTGGTATTGCATATACTTATTTATTGAGTTTATGTATACTATCGTATTGTGTGCTTATGAAATAGTATGAATGTTGTCCTGTTAGATATGGCGCTAGAATATATGATGAGCTTATATGGTGTAGCTTACAGTTATGTACAGCTGTGCGGTTCTATGTAGATCAGCCTACAGTTAGAGGGGAGCACTACATCGACAATCTGTATATCGTTCTCTACAGTTTTGTATAGCATGTAGTAGCACGTATTCAATACGGCATACCTTAATGATGATCATGTGCACACACACGGGATTTATTGAAATCCATATTTCTATGTCTATTGAAATTTATAGTCGAATAGTTACCTAGCTGTATGTATATTTTATGCATAATCATGATATAGTCGTCTGTATCCTTTATATAATGTATTGTATCTATACATGATGCCCCTACTCTGTACAGAGCTGGGTGCGCACTCATAACATCAGTGTTGCCGGGTGAGAGTTGATGTAAGCCTGTCGGCCTGGTCGACCTTCTCCACTGCGTCTTTTGTGAATGTGATAACCAGGCCGATTTCCTCTTTCTTTGGGTTCAGAAGTATTTGTATGTCCACACATTTTGGTAAAGTAATAACTTTGAATGGTAACTATACACACATTGTAGCTCGCAGGGACTTGCGCCCCCTCAAACTTTCCTGTCGTAGTTTTGCATTCACGAGTGTAAGCTGTGCCTTAAAGGCAGCTCTCACCTCTTTTCTTGGTGTATCGTCCTGCGTGACGTAATCGTGCAGCTCTATGAATGCAGTGGGAATATTGTGGGTGAAGCTAAATGAAGTGGCTCTGCGACTTTACTCAGAGGGCTGAAATTAGCAAGTGTCTGCGTAGCCATAAATTGTATGCTCACTGCTACCATTCTATACTTCGTAGTCGGATGTGTGGTTTCCACCAGTCTATAATTTAAAGAAAGCTCTGTATTTTTGAGGGATGTGCACACAAACTCGCGCGCTTTGGCCTCTTGTTTGCCCGATATAATCTTTACACCGTTGACACTGGTTGCTGCCATTTTAGTGCGCACTGGTTGTTGTATGTCCTTGAATTGTCGTGTTGTAGCTGCACTTTCTTCTTCCTGAAACGGCGCACCCTCATCGTCGTCAATATCCTCTTCCGAAGGGGCATCACGGTTTACTGCAATTTTTTCTTGAAGGCCCGTTCTCGAAAAGCAACCTGCCTCTGACCGAGTGGGCTGTCGCTTAGAAGACTTCCGTGTCATGGTTTTAAAACTAGTGCAATCAATAATCACAACAACAAATCAGTATACGTGTACTCACAACCCTTAGTAATCTTTACGGTTGTGTGGTCTTACAGCATTATTGCACGTGTACGATGGTTGTAGAATTTGCAATTAGTACTAACATAACTCGATGAAGGATACACACCCGAATGCTGATGACCAGGGATCGTTTGAGCTGGATACGGATCCAGTAACTTGAGCGAGTGCGCTTGTAAGATGTTGCGTGCGCAACTGTTTAAATGTGAATATTGTTGAAGGTTATGAAGCTCTGAACGCCCTGCACTTAGGAAAAATCAAGTGGCCACAAAAATCAATCCAATACTGACTTATGATTACTAGGAGATCGAGGCGCGGTAATTTGTACCAATGAAATTTGAAAGAACATCAGTTGCGACTTGCGTGTCATCGGTTAATTTGAAATTTGTATCCATGGAATTTGAGATATTTAACATCAATTGCGTGTCATCAGTTTGATTCGAATCCTCAGACCAGATCTCCCTTCATAAATTCCCCAAGACCTGCGTACCTCTAAATTATAAATACTACAAATTCAGACAGTTTTGTACGCGCTGCAACACATTTTACCTCAGAGCAAGCATAGGCTTATGATACATGACTACGTTCTCAATGCATACGATATACACAGAATTGTGCATACGTTGTGACTCTCACCTACATTGTCTGGATCTCTATTTGAACTATGACATCTGTGACCACTATTAAACAAGCAGCTCTCCGCTACATGAATTGTAGACGTGTAAATGATCGTCTATTTGGTAGAAAGTTCGAGGCAATGTTTGGCGCCTCAGCACTGGTAGTCACGATCATTTACGACAAGCTGACAACGCAACTTCACACCCGTGCTACACCAACACATTTGTTAATGGGTATGCACTTCTTAGCATGCTACCCAAAGGATGATGTCGGGGCATCAACATTCAGAGTCACCACAAAGACATATAATGAATGGCATTGGTACGTCGTCGAGCAGATAGCCAGACTGACCGGGATCGTATGTTAGCGTGTGTTTATAACTTTAATATGTGTTTAGTATGTGTGATATCACCAGTCAATCAGTATAATGCAATAAATGTTGTCTCCACTGATCTGGTTACAAACTGATACTACATGAGACGTGTTTCACGATAGATTTTGGCAGAAAATCATACTCATGTTTCATGATACTATAGATTACCAATTGGTGCATGTTGACATGGCAGGGTGTGTGTTTAAACTCATTTGTTTGCATGTGGGATGTCGGGATGTCAAATTTAGGATTGTCTTGCATAAAGTTCTTTGGCTATACTTCAAGTCGAGCTGGATGAATATTGATACGCTTATCTGCGAATTGTGAAATACAAACAAATTTTGATGAGATTTGAACTCTACATGTAATAAGTAGTGTATCCTACATCAACTATATTGACCTAGCATTTATGGAAATTTAAACCGCTGGTGTATTGCATAGTTCACAGCATACAAAACCTTCGTGTGCACATTCTGCAGTGAATCATTGCAACCAACACCTGAACCCTTTGCAACACATATCTCACATAGGTAGTATGGGGAGATCGAAAGTTGTTATTGGATCCCGATGATATGTCAAATACGTTCGTTACGGTGGACGGAATTGATTGCAATGTTCCTGAAGCCCATCCTTTTCGAGCCTCATTGATGTCTCACAAAACGACACACGCCGCTTATAAATACGAATTAGTAATTTCAATCAGAGCTGGGGATATTTGCTTCGTCAACGGGGGGGGTTGAAGCAGAGACAGCTGACATCACTCTATCGCGAGATTGCCTAGTTTATATGCTTGACGAGGGAGAGAAAATCGTTGCAGATAAGGGATATGAGGATGGCATTGAATACTTCCTCACGCCCTTAGAAGCTACAGTTGAGAATGCGGCAGCAAACGCAATGATGAAGCGCTGGCGTGCCCGACATGAAACAGCTAACGGCAGAATGCGTAGTTTCTATATTCTCAAAAACACATTCCGCGCCTCCAGGTTGAAGCATTCAATATATTTTATGGCCGTTGCAATTATCGTGCTACTGTCTATTCGCAGCGGTCATCCTCTATTTGATAAACGTTGATCTCGGACCACAGCGCAATCTGGACAGAATTTCAAAGTCAGGCAATACTATGCAGTACTACACGAGCGGTGACACGCGTACATTGCTGTATTCTCGTATCCTGATTCATAAATATCATGCATACGTGTTATGCATGCTCTATTTTTCTACATTCAACTATATCATACGAGCAGACCCATGCGTGTTGGTATCGAAGAGGCCCATGTGTGTTGGTAACGAAGAGATGCTCACAACACACACAGCCTCCTTGAGGCCAAGAGCGGTTGACGAAAAACACATATAAATATCCTAGCCGAACATATAAAGGTATACTGCACCCATCCATTGATTGTGTATGACACACGTAATATCGACTAATAAGGTCTTGATTTGGTCTTGAAAATTTGATACTTGGTTTGAGTGTCACATTATCAATCTCGAGATTTGAAACGTGTCGGCAAACTTTACCAAAGTCTATGACAAACCCTTGGTTCGATTTGGGTGTAAATTGGTCCCAATACAATAGTGATCAGAGGGCAGTTTTCATATTTTATTTTATTTTGGAATTTACGGCTCGCTCCAACGACATCGGACACAGCCTCACAGCCTCACCGCACTCACAGCCACCCCCCCCCCCCCCCCGGGTCCGGCCAGCTCTGTGGGCTGACTGCGGAGTTGCTTCATGAATCATGACTGCTGATGAGACTCATGTGAGAGTACTTCCAATTTTAAAATGGATTTAAAAAATAAAAAAAAGAAGCAAAAATTGAAAAAGCTCATACTAATTGTTCTGGTGGCTGTCGATAAAAAAAAGAAGAAGGCGCCAAGTCGCACACATTCCCGTTTTCAGTCTCCACACAGTCTTTAGGATTTCGGTTTGCTTTTTTTTATGTTCGACAATCTGAGAAATCTCGTTCAACGGATGCTATTCTAGCAGATTTCTGCAAGTCACACCGAGACACGGAGTCTTTCTCTCGAAAGCAGCCAAGCAGCCTCTCGTCAAATGCGAGTCCGTATATATCATGAGCTGGAACGTGGGGCCGTTTTTTTAAGCTGTATATTCTAATGAGGCATGATGAACCACATACATATTGGGTTCATTTCAAGCTGCAAAAAATGATGTTCAAGTGCTCGATGATCGTCGATTCGTGAATCTTCAGGATTGACGACATTCAAATGTCACTTGTAGCCTGTGGCATCGGGCAACATTCCGGTTCCAAAATGATGTTTTAGATTTACAAGCACGATGTCCGCGGCGCGGGGCCATAAAGAAAACTTTGTCAGATGAAATGGGGCACGCAATTACGGTTTGATGAACACAAAGACTTGTGTTATAGAGATGCAACGTGTGCAAGACCAAGGAGGTACATAGGTCAACGATCGGAGAGCGAATTGAACTGTTCATACGAGGAGGTTGATATACATGTTGGAACCAGTGGCTGTATTTAAGTTTGCATCCTCGTGCACATGTCTGTACTCGAGGCTTGTATTCTGAAAGCTTGCACCATTTTGGAATGATTCAGGATTACAATGCTACAAATAATCATTGATGCGTTCAGACTGTGAAGAATGCTAGCACTTTCCCAGTCCGGTTTAATCAGTTTAATCATCTTCCAACAGGTACCGTTGGGCTCGTAGTCGAATCGTCTCACTATCCAACACACCGAGGAGCCCCTGGAAGAAAAAAAAAAAGCTAAGCACAACCGTTTGAACAAAGAAAATAAATTTACAACCCATTTGTAGCTGGGAAGATTCGAAGCTCTTCTCCCGTTATGACGTGATGAACAAAAATGTCGGATGTTGGATTTGCAAAGTATATGAGATAGGGTACGCCACACTTATAGCTTCAGACAATTGACAACGTAGTAGCGACATATACCACTACGCCATTCTAAGAAGCGCCTACTGGTGCTGCTAGATCAACTGATTAGGTGCGTGGCGAATATCTAAATGAACGAAAGTGACGGTTGTTAAGGCATGCCGAGATGTCGAGATAGTATCTTTTTCAACAAATCACTTCTCACATCGCGTATCCCACTTGGGAAGCGCATATACTGGTGATTCATGGCGAATGTTCTCACCCGCCAATGGGGGAGGGATGGTGGTGGGGTGTGTGCATGGGTGAATGCATATACTGGTGATTCATGGCGAGTGTTCTCACCCGCTAATGGGGGAGGGATGGTGGTGGGGTGTGTGTATGGGTGAGTGCATATACTGGTGATTCATGGTGACTGATCTCACCCGCTAATGGGGGAGGGATGGTGGTGGTGTGTGTGTGAGTGTGTGGGGTAATACTAATTCAATAACAGCAAGCGCTGCACAATCACTGGCCATTTGAGATGTATTGGTGTATGGGCCATTAAACAAAACTATATGCAATACTGTCGCACCCGATGCGTAAGGCTTGGATGAGCATACACAACACTCTCTCAACCCACGTGCTCACGCATGACCATAGCCTCCCTATAACAATTACAAGGAGGTTACTAGGAGGCTATTTTAGGAGGCTATGGCATGACGGTCCAATACAAACCCAAAACCCTATCCACCCCCTTTTAATCCCTAACCCCTGATGCGTATGTACCTGTGAACAGTGCAGCTTTAGCGCCGTCTCGTCACCCGTGCACATGGCCAGCCTGCTCTGTACGTACAGCCGTGTCCTGATCTCATTTTCACGATCCGCTGTGGTGCGGTCATCCTCTGCCGGTGTTTTGGCAGAGTCCATGATATTTCTGGAAATTCCATGCTCGAGTGTTGAGTGTGTGTGTATGGAATGGGGGAGGCGTACGCAGTAAGAGTGATCGGAGTGGATGGGTGTTAACAAACAAGCTTAGAGTTTAGATACAGGTATAAAAAGGACCTACACACAGACACAGACACCACATACGAACACGCACAGAAGTTGAATTGGTTTGCAAACCCTTGACTAAGCATTTACGAATACTCGGGCAAACGAGCAAATTTGGTCAGCCAGAGATTTCCACGGTTAGGACCACCCACGTAATCAATTACATAGTACATACAGCACCATACATATGTATGCCCGCCCATATCTGTGAAGAGATGTCAACTTGCCAACTTTCAGATAAAGTTCAATAGCACATGTATTCTACATGAGATGAAAGCTGTATTACACGAGCCGCTCTTCAGAGTGATTCGGAATAGTACAAGTAGACTGCATACACTGATCAAACTGGATCCGGCCGTACACACCCAGGGATATACAAGCGCATGTGCAATCACCAACACAATACAAGGTTAAGCAATACGAGTTGCAACCATTGTCGGGTCTGACGAATACACCGGAAGAACAGCTTGTCAAAAAGATACGCCGCTATACCCGTGACAACAGACACCAACACACACAAATACATCGGTTGCAATAACTAACAAATGTGAGAAACACGTGCAGACAAAGGGTTTGGGGTTTGTATAATCGACACTTCCCCTACATTAAGACCCGGAACACCAAAGCAGGGTTTCAGGGATTAGGAAGATAAAAATACAGACAAAGGGGTTGTACAGTCTACATTGCACCTACATTGACACACGGAACATGTCCAGAGCGGAGTTCGACAGATGGATTTTGACGCCCTGCAGCAACAGATCCGACAGCGACGGAATGTTCAGGTACACATCAGTCACATCCTCCTGAACGATGTTGATGAAGGTAGATTTGCCCATGCTGTAAAGATAGGTGAGGGGGGGGGGTGACTCTTGTGGTTATTTATAGCACAAAAGTTGGTTGATCCAATGTATGGGTATGGCATGAGAGGTACACAGGTGCCTGTACACTTTACTGACTTTGATAGGACCGACCATTGCAGACAGAGGGTGGTTAGTGATACGATGCTCAGCAAGACACGCATAGACCACTCCAAAGCACACGGCACGCCCGAGCCCAAAACTTGGAACTTACAAACTTACAACTTTAAAAGAACTTGTAGTTTAACTGAAAAGATGTTAAGTTGTCAGGGAAGGGAATGGCACACCTGTCGATGGAGCTGCGTTCGTCCACCAGGTTATCTAAGTTGTCGAGTGACTTCTGCGTCAGCCCAGCTCTGGTGCGTGATTTAGTTCTAGACTTAGCCGATGCTACGGGCAGCCCTATGAGCTCCCCCACCAGGTCTGTTCCTCCTTTATTGTCCACTACTAGGCTCTCATCCTCGCCAACCCTGAGAAGCTTGGGTCTTGACGTGGCTTTCGACAGTCGCTTACCTATAGACATGGGGAAACCATTGGCTTCAAATTAGCGGAATGATCACTCAAATACACAGCACCAGATTGCAGAGGTGGTGATGTGCACACACACATGCACAGTGAGAGACTACACACACACATGCGCAGTGAGAGGACACAGCTAAGTATTTCCGTCGGACTGAACTCACCGCTTTTAGACGAGAAGGGCGATTCAATAGACCTCGGCGTCAGCGACGTATGCGACCCTGTCACAGACCCCTTGCTCCGTTTCCTGTGAGATGCACCTCCCTACAGATGATCAACAGACACAAGTATGTGTTTAAGTGTCAGAAAAACATATCTGACAAGTACAAGGAAGATACTTGAACAACGGCGAACATTCTACGCATTCTAGCTAACTTTAGGCGACAGGGCAGCTGAAATATTCTCAATTCTTTTATTTTGAGTAAAAAACAACATAGTATATATATATATATACACATACACACACACATATATATATATATACATATATATACACACATACACACACACACACACACACACACACATATATATATATGATCTGAGCGACAT